GGGCCCTCCCCGCCCCCACAGCTCCAGCAGGCTCTGGCTCAGCCGCACCTCCTCTGCTTCGGACAGGGGCAGGTAGGGCTTGCCGGTGATGGGGTCACTCAGGGGCCCCGCGTCCTTGCCCAAGGGCAGGATGTCATCACTCTGCAGCCGGAGCTCCGGGGAGACCCATGCATGGTCCACAGGGCACTGGGGACAGGAGGCGAGCAAAACGGTGAACAACGCCTTCCTCCTCGCCCGCACCCAGCCCTCCACGTGCTTCCTGGGCCCCGCCCCCGGGGCGCTCGTGGGCCAGCTGAGCTCCTGGGGGCAAAGTGCTCCAGGCCCCACCCAGTGGGAGACGGGTGCTCCTGCTGCAGGTGGAAGCGTGCCGACTGGAGAAGGCGAGGTGGCGGGGGCAGGGGTACGAGGTTCTCTCACCTGGTTCAGAAAGGCCTCGATCTTGCGGAGAATGGGCTCAGGCACCTGGATGGTACATGGCCGGCGCTGGGTCTCGCCCAACTCACGCAAAGAGGCCAGGTTGTACATGGCGTGGGTGAGGGGCTCGTTGTTCCGGTCCACCAGGCCCAGGCTCTGCAGAGGGGACACGGGCACCTCGTCAGGCCCCACCCGCCTGGCGCTGGCCCAGGCGGGCTCAGGAGCTCCAGGGAGCTGTGCAGAGCAACCCCTTTCCTGAGAGACCTGGCTTTTCAGCTGACGTGATCCCGGAGGGAGAATTTAGGAACCAGGGAAAGCAAATTACCCCCCAAATTAGTTAAAATTCAAGAAAATCAAGACCTGAGAACCCCCTGAGCAGCTGGAGCCCAGTCTCACCTCCACGAATACCCAACATCGACCCAGAAGACAGATGCGCCCGGCCCCTACCCGCCCAGGCTCCCTCTGCGGCCTCACCAAAGCCCACCCACCTCATGTCTGCAAGGCACCAGCTCCATGGGGCCCCATCCTACAAGTGAGCGTGGGATTTCTATTTATGCAACTTGACAAAACAAGCCACTGGAGGGGAAACACTGGGCCCTCGCTCCCTACACGCCCCACGCCAGCCGACCAGTGATACGACCCGCACCTCACCCCCCGGGCCAAGTGCGCAAGCCAGTCCTCTCCCTAGTCGTGTTCCCACCCCCGTGATGTCCAGACTCTGCTCTCCCTCCAAAGCCCAGGCCAAACAGTCCCTCCAAGCTCATCCCTCGGGGCCAACCCCTTCTGGCTCCGGGCAGACCTCACGGGCAGGGACCTGGTCCCTGGACCAGGGGAGGTGCCACCACAGCATCCCGGGAGGAGGCTCTGTCCTCTCGGGGCTGCACGTCACCCCCCGCCCCTGCCCAGGGCCAGCCCTCTGCCCCATGAGCACAGCGGTGGCTGGAGCTGCTCTTCTCGGGACAGGACTCCACCAGCCGGAGGCGTCTGGTCACCAGGGGTGCCTGTCGAGCCAAAGCTCAGACTTCCTGCACGTTCCCTCAGTGAGCGTCCTGCTCCTGAGCCCGGTCATGCCTCCACCCCTCGTGTTCCCTGTACCACCCTGTGCCCTTCCCGTCTCCACGCTCCACACCTCGTCGGCTCTATCTGCATGCAGCTCCGAGGGTCAGCAGACCCTCACATAAAGCGGCCGCTTCCTGTCTTGCTCTGCAAACCCTGGGCTCAGAGCACTAACGTCCCAGGCACCACGACCTCACCCACTGCGGGGCCCTGCCGGCCCCAAGCCTCCTCAGGAACTGCCCGTGCCCTGAGGGTGCCTGCTGTCCTCATCCCAGATAACCGTCTGGTCGTTTCTTGTGGCCACAAGCCCAGGTCTCGAGCTCTTTCTAGACACCAAGACTGCCAAGCAACAGGCAGCATTTCTCCAGGTCCATGCTCTTCAGAACGAGGGGCGGTCGCCAGCCGGCGTTCCCGGTTCCGGCCCCAGTGCGGCAGGCTGAGCTCCCGGGGACCGTGGGGAACCCTGCAGCAGCCTCAGCCTGACAAGCAGGACCAGGGACTGACCGCGGGGCCAGGCCAGGGCTGCTGTGCCAGACTCACTTCCCGGAAAAGGGGACCATCTGCCTGGGCCGCAGGGGCCCCAGGACGGCTCGTGTTCACCAGGCCGGGCTCACCTTCAGCTTCTTGCAGGCCAGGGCCGCCGCCTTGTTCTCAGCCTCCGCCTTGCGGCGTCCTTTGGCCACAAAGGTCATGGGGCAGGGCCAGAGCAGGGTGAGGGTGGCCAGCTTGGTCTTGGTGCCCACGGTGTGAAACTGCATGAGGTTCTACGGGGAAGGAGACAGTGGGAACAGAGAGTGAACACCTTCCAGGCAACAGGTGTGACGGCGCTGTGGGCTGAGCTGTCGTGGCTACACTAGGTGCGTCCCGGGAGCAAGAAGATCCCCA